TATGATTTATACACTATATTCATTATAAATTTAAATAAACCAAACTCTTCTCTTACCTTTTCCAATTTTTTCCTCCTCTATCTCCCCCTAGATTCACCGAGTTTACAAATTCTTTGGCATCCTGTCCATCTGTTGCTATCAACATTCTGATGTTTCCTGGTAAGAAACTTTGTTGTCATCAAACATGGATGGATAGGATACTAAAGAATTTGCAAACACAGTGAATCTAGAAGAGGAAGGAGACAGAGAAGAAGAAAGATTGGAAAAGGCAAGAGAAGAGAGTTCAATTTATATTGAGGGAAAAAAAGTAGAAGTAGAAAGAGATGACATTTAAATAAATATTATCTAAATAAGACTTGATTTATTAAAATTTCTTTTGTAAAACCAAAAAACATAATATACTTCTTCAATAACTGCAAGTTGTATTATTGTAAGAAAGGGTGCTTACAGTATTTTGTCTTAAGGGCAACAAATTAACCAATTGGTTCACTAAAATCATGTTTGTTTCTACTTATATTATTTTTATTTTGCTTCTTGAGAATGAGTAATAAACATGTAAAAAGAAAGAAAAAGCAAAAATTCAAATAATCTAACAGGCTTATAGTCTTCTACAAATCCTTCTTAGCACAAATTCTTCTTAAAGCTTTAAAGAGAACTAAATTTACATTTACAAAATAATTTTATAAAATTGTTATCTAACAAAAGAAAGAAAGCAAATGCTTCCTGGTCCCTCCCTTAAATGATTTTAATCTTAATATGTCGTTTTAACTGCATATTAGTTTTAAACTTTAAATGAACTTTTTCTTATAGTTTTTTCATAGAAATGTTTGTATTATGAAATTTGAAAAAATATCAAATTAAGTGACATTTTGAAAATCTAGATTAATTGGGGTCATACTAAATCAGATTTTCAAATTTATATGTAAATTAGCATTTTAAACACTTAATTACCATTTTTTGACATTATTTCATATTTTAATGATTATAATTATTTAAAGTATCAAATGTTGATTTTATTGGTAAATAACTGAAATAGTATAAACTAGTGTTGGACTGAATATTGAGTATTATTTGGTATTTGGATATATACTAAACACTATTCAATATTTGGACCAAATACTTCTTCAAAGCTGAACTATTTGGTCAAATAATCTCATTTAATTGGGAGAGAGGGAAAAGTGGAGAGAGAAAGGAAGGAAAAAAGATGAAACACAAAATAGAATGAAAAAAGATTTAAAAACTCAGACATTTAAAAATATTATTTAGTCCTTTCCAAAACAAATATAATTTTAATAAACAATCTTGTGCAAATATTATTTATCAATAATCATAACTAAGAGTGATAAATTGTAATGAGGGAACAGTAATGCTTCTGCATTCATAGGAAGTAAGCAATTTTGTTGGTTGTCATAAATATGTCCAGTCCCACTGAACATACTGTGTTTTCACTAAATACACTACTGGGGACTGAAAAAAAAAATGATTGGCCTTAATGAAAGGATTTAATTTTTTACTTTTTATCATATAATTATTAATAATTTTTTAAAAATAAAAACTTATATGAAACTTTATTATATCAAATAGGAGATGCTACCCTCCATCTTTAAATCTTTTGTTTCATGTAGTTCCAAATAGATCTGATGATATTCAGCCAAACATAAGGTACTTGGTAGTTGGAAAAAGCAAGCCTATGAATTCATTGTACTAATTATATAAAATTATTCTTAATTTAAAAAACTTTATAACATTCATATTTTTTAAAATTAGCATTCCTTTTGGAGTTCCAAGAAAAACTGTGGGAACTATGTTTTCACCTTGTAAAGTGGAGATAATTGGTTATGAACCTGAAATGGTGGGAAGTAAGTGAAATATTACAGTTATTTTACTTTTTTCAATAAACACTCGGATTCTTTGAATACTTTGTAGGATAATAAATATTAATTCTTGGAAACATAAGGTGTTTGAGTCAAATGTTTTCTACCTTCTCCAGAGGTCATCCTCAGGTATTTTTAAATTCTTGGAATGTTTCTTTGCATCGGTTCCAAGTTCAAACATTTATGTGAAACAAAGCATTCGAACTTGGGCAAGTGTTTGAACTATAAAGACGCCACAAACTTACCAACAGCATGGAAATATACGATTGATAATAACCCGTTATAATCGGTTATACAGCATGCGCTCAGTCCATATAAGTATGTTTAATGTATGGACGTATATTTTTTAGTGTATTTTATGTTAATTTACTTTGTGTANATGTTGAGAAATTGCTTTTGGTTGGATAACTGAAAAACAGTGCGCTGGCGACATCCTATCAGAACCAATTATTTGCGAGAAAGCTAAAAAGATACATGCTGATCTCATGAAAAATCAAGCAGGAACTAGCCAAGAAAACGAGATGTTAAAGCCAGCCATTTTTTTCACATGAGAACGGATTAATTAATCATTTTTACATTACTTCTTATGGGAAAGATTGGTTTGGTATAAGTCCAAACATCAGGAACGGATTAAGGTCGTATACCGAGGTTCCACTGTATATTATAACTTCCGACTCTTATCAGCTGCAAACTACTCAATCACATCATCAAAAGACAATTTCTGAAATTTAACATTCTCACTAAACATAAGGCATAAATCTGATGGCAGTTTCTTTTGCTTTATTGTACGAAAATAATTTTTTACGCCCGTGTTGCAGGACCTTCACCTGAACAGTTTGTTATTGATAACGTTAAAACGTTACCAATAACAAACTGTTCGGGTGAAGGTCCTTCAGCATTAAATCAACAAATAAACAAACAAAATTAATTGCACGATGTTTTTCACTTAAAAAAATAATAATAATAATAAAAGGAAGTTCTCGACGGAACTCCAAGTATTTGCTTGTTTTCTTTCTGGTAAATCCGCCACTGCTATGTGCTGATAGGATAAACACAAGTAGAATTCTCACTTAATTTGCAGGATTGTTATACAAATAGAATTCTGTGGAAAATTTCTCAGACTATGCACTATGCAAACTACGCGAGATTAGTGACTAAAGATCACGCCTAATCTTAAAATAGTGGAACGCAAAATCGGTAATTCTGTATTTACCAGTAAGATAGCTGTTAATCCTGCGATTTGTCTAATTCTGTTAGTGAATTAGGGAATTAGTCCTGTTTCCGCAATTTTGTTTTTTATTTTATTTTATATATTTTATTTTGAAAACTGTAGAGTTTGTGCATAGTCAAGCGCTAACTTACTACGGTTTGGAAATTTTTGTTGTGGATTCCTACAAGCGAATATCTAAAACTGACTTCCTTCAAGATAACTGAACATATATAGGAGCAAGGAAAGCAGAGTCGGTGATTGCGAAGATTTCTCGAAGCATTTGGGTTAGCGTAATCGTTTTTAAAGATGTTAGTCACTAAAAAAGAGGCCCACTAGTGGCCAAGCGGTCTTCGTACCCTGAACACTGGAGTCGGTCGTGGGTTCGCGCCTCGCTCAGATGAGCTGGCCACGTGGAGTTTTCCGTGTTTTCTTCACGTCTGTAGCGCCTAAATAGAGGTCAGTTTCCCTTGTTTCTCTTAAAAAACTTCTCGGAAGGCATTCCCCTAGGCAGATCGCCCAAGTGTTGCATTGCCAAAACTTAACAAACAACACTAAAAGGATACGACTGCTCTCGAAACTGTTTCCAAATTTTGCGATCGTGGTTCGAAGATTCAACGTTTGCAGATCTCTGATGCTACTAACATTTTGTCATTTACACTTTTTGCGGTCTGATGTTTCCAATTTTATGTTGTTTCGTAGTCTCTTTTAACAAAAGGTTTTACTTGTTCGACTCTAAAGAATACATACAACTTTTCTGCAGTTCCAGAAAAATATTCTCGGCAATAGTTCAGTAACACTTCCATTAGGCTACAGATAAGTTTAGTACAATGATAAAGTTATATACTCGAATAGATGCAGTTGGGAGGTTCATTTGTTGCATTCTTGTTCGGAATCTGTTGTGAATTTCCTGTATTACTGTTGCCCTATCCGAAGACTGCCCAATTGCGTTTTTCACATTAATGTTGTACTTCTGAAAGCGCTGTTACGGTTTTAAAAGCTGTTGTCGCTTTGTCTTCAGTTACTCTTCAATACATAAAATGTGTTCGACTACTAAATAATTTGAATCCAGACACCAGACAATCAGCGACAATTACTTCTTGCAACTGGTGAGAAATTAAAAATGTGAAAAGTGGGCAAAGGAACCCTTATGTTTTCTGTCGACGAATACGTCAACAGTTTTAAAATAAAATAATAACAATTAAAAAAAAAACTTAAAACACTGTGGACGAATGCAACAATACCAGTTTTACAGCTCCAAACACTCTTCCCCTTCCCCTTCAAAATGCCACTGTGGATCCTGCACTCCACCAGCCGGTCGCATGGCCGAGAGGTTATGGTGGCATCCTGTCGTTCTGAGGACCCGGGATGGAATCGAACGGGCGAAAAAAACCCAAAAATTTTCGGAGGCGATCCATCCGAAAATATCGGGCCCCGTCCCTCACCTCCCGGCCGCCCACTGTGGGCCTGGCCGAACCCATGATGGGCTTGTTTTTTTTTCTTTTGTTTTTTTTAAGTCTTTCCGCCCTGTGGGCACTAAGAGGGCCTCTTTTTGCAAGCCCATTATAGGTTTGGCCAGGCCCACAATGGGGCTGCCGGGTGGTGAGGGGCGGGGCCCAACATATTCGAACGGACCACCCTCTCGAAAAATTCCTGGGGATTTTTTGACCCGTTCGGATTCGATCCCGGGTCCCCCAGAGCGGTAGGCTGCCACCTTGACCGCTCGACCATCCGGCCGCTTAATAATGGGCTTGCTAAAAGAAGCCCTCTTAGTGCCCACAGGGCAGAGTTTAAATTTATAAGTAACTACTGTAGATTAATATTTATTAGAGTTTATCTTTTATATTTATATAATTTAATGAATAAGTTAAACCTCGAAACCATAGAAAAATTTCTCCTTTCTGTTATTATTGGGCTAACTAACGAACGTAGGTAGTGGTGCATTTGCCTATTTCGTCAACGAAGCAGCCAAAATGGCGCCTACCATCGTGGTTCGAATGCATCCTGTGATTTTATTTAGTATTGTAGATTCTCACGAAAGAAGAAATGCCGAAGCACAAAGAGTAATAGGAACTTTATTAGGTATATCTTTCTGTTTTTAAAAATTTGAAAATAATATATATGAGATAAATTTCTATACATATGCTAAGTGGCATAGGTGATGCTTGATTTGAAATGACGGAAAACGAGTCTTTTAGAGAGAAGTTTTGTCCGAAATTAGGCATATTAATTCAAATAAGTGGATTGGTATAGATAATATGAGTCTTTCAATCCTCGCTTTCTCGTATTGCTTGTATGTATATAGCCCTAACGTGATTAATTACATCAGAAATTGAAAGAAAGGTATTGAATGCCCGAGAAAAAGTGCTAATTAGAATGAGAGTTGACTATTTGAAAAATTGGTTACCCAATCGTTTATTTTCCAGAATTTGTAGGAATAAAAACCATTTAATTTTCAGTAACCAAACAATAACATTCAAAAGTAGAAACTAAACACATTACATTAATATCTTAATATTTTGAAAATCTGCATGTCTGTTTATATATTTATAAATAATTATCTAAGAACATTTTTGAAATGTTTGTCAAACAGGCCTTCGTCAATAGAACATAAAAACAAAATTTAGTTTTAATGAGTATGTGTTATAGTTATAACTAAAGCCAACCACAGCTGTATGTTGTTGGGATAAATAATGGCTATAATATTAATAAATAATCAAATTATCAATTACAAAAGTGACTGTTGCGGGTTCAAGTCCTGCTCCGGACTGATTCTTTTCTTCCAGTTTAATCTAAATTATTTAATTAAAATTATAAAATTTGTTAAGTTAAATTTTTTTTTTTTTAAATTTTTTTAAAACAATAAAAAAGTTGTTAAGTTTTAAATTTGTTAAATTTATTAAGAGATAGCACTTAACGCCTCCCTCTAGTATCAAATTGTTTGGTAATTTATTAGTATTATAGCCATTGTTTAGACCAATAATGTATGGCAGTGGTTGGCTTTAGTTATATAATGTATCGGGTTTTAGTAGTAGTTTGTGTTGTAGTTAAACTTTTGGTTGTCGTTTTGATTAGATGAGGTTTATGGAACATATTCAAACATTTATATTTCTGTTCTATGTTTGAAATAAATTCTGTATTTCATATCTTATTCTTTTGATAATTATCTAATGAAGGCTGTTTGATGTGGTAAAAAATGTTACTTTGAATTAAATAAGCTTAGCTGGAAATTTTATGACAGTATATTCTTATTGTGATTTAACTGTTCCATGCACGTTCTTCATACAATTTTAAATTAAATGGAGGAATGACCAGACAAAAATGTAATTGTGTATTCTAAACTATCACATAATTTTGTGTTAGAGAATATACAATTGAGTAAAAGTCTGGTCTTTCCACCATTTAAATTCATTGTGATTTGTTTATGTACTTAGTTCTTTGATAAAACTTTGTTTATTTATAAGTTTTATAATTTTAAAGCTGTATTTAACAATAAATTTTAATATTTTTGTTTTTATTGTAGGAATACATGAAAAAGGAGCTGTTGAAATTACTAATTGTTTTTGTGTACCTCACAATGAATCAAGGGATGAGGTTGGTTTAATTTGAGTTCATTTTATTAAACAAAAGCTCTAGTATGTCATCTTTACATTATTTATTAATAACTAGCTGCAAGGACCCGCTTCGCTGGGTTTTTATTTGTTCGTACATTTGGCCAATCTTACCCATTTTCACAGAATGCAAGATTTAGGTCCCCCATTTCCAGACTAATTAAAAAATTTTTACGTCCAGTCAAATGAACTATTTTCAAATTGATCAATTTTCTGGAACGTTTACAATCGTTCTATAATCGAACCAATTTGAATTCAAAAATTTTTTAAATCGAAATAGAAAATCTTCCACTTTCAACCACTTTCAAACCCATGTCTCCCGCACCCTTATAGCTATTGAGACACAACCACCATGGTGCACGAATGGAGACTTGGGGCTACTACCACATACAAACACCATTCATGTGTGATGTGTAGTTTTGGCTGAAAAGTGAAATATAGGGACACACACGTCCATTTATATATATATATATATATATAGATATAGATGATATATAAAATAGATATAAGCTATGTTGTTGTTATTTTAATATTTACAAGAAAAATATTTTTGAGATTACATTCTGATATTTAAAGATAAAGGTTTTATCTATAGATTTTAAAGATATATATATATATGTATATATGTCATAAACTGAAGTAATTTTAACACTAAAGTAAAATTCCTTATTAAATGACTAAGACTTTTTCAGATGATAAATTAAATTGCTGTTTTGTGTCATTAGAATTAACTACTGTTTTTGAAATTTTGAAAGTAGCCAAACTATATTTCTAAGCAGTGATATATTTTTATTACTAAGGATTGATAATGAAACAATATGTTAATGAAATTAAATATTTTTATGTGAAAGAGGCCAAAAATTACTTTCAAGTTCTTTGTCATTTCTATTGCTATGCAAAGCTTTACAGCAAATTTTATGGTCTACCTAGTTTTGCTTGTTTTTCATCTGATATCATGAAAATGGAAGTAACTGAATATGATGTTAAATGTGTTTTCAGTGGCAGATTGTTCTGTAGACTGTGATGATACGGATTCATTTGATAAAATAAACTCTTATGGTCTTATGGAAAGAAATCTGTGGACTTTGCAAATTTTTCTATAAAATACAATGGAGTGGGATTATAGGGAAATATATAAATAAAAATAAAATTGATTTCTTGAAGAAAAGATGACAAAATTCAATGACACCAAAAATCTACAGATATAACTGTGCCAAAAACAAACAAAATTTTCCTTTATTGTTAAAATCTTATATTTCGGGACTTGATAATTTTATTTGTTTATAACATTTAAACCCCTAATACAGTATCTGTGGTCACAATAAGTTGACCCTACTGTATTTCAAGTGATTTTAGAATACAAAATTAACCAAAAAGAGAGAAAAAGAATTACATAAAGTTATGAAAATTCCTTAGTCTAAAATTGAAATTTCACACAAAAAATATTTGCTCTTCAAAAATTCAAGCCCACAAGAAGTGATTTTTGTCTCTATTAGAAAACACTGCACTAGACAGTTACAAATCCATTGTTTTTTTTTTTTAAACAACTAATTTAATGTTTTATTTAGATTAACTTTGTTTTCTTGTGGTGGACAATTGATAAATAACAGTTCTAAGTATACTTTAAATAAATTATTAATTTAATACGTGTTTTTATTTTATTTCTAATCTAAAACAATAAACACAATATTAAGCTATTAATATAAGTTGTATAGAATTTTCCACGTTAAGCTTAAAAATGTGAAAATGATTATATCATCAATTTGCAAAACAAAAAAATTTTACAAATTAAAATGATCATTGTTACATCAAATTATTCAAATGCATCACTAGTCTTCATGTAATGATTGCACTTTTATTTATTTACAATAAAAATTATGCTTACAACAAAATAGTAACAACAAAATTCTAATAAGATTGATACTAGGAATAAAATGGACAAAATTACTTATTTTTACAGTAAAGTTGATATTGGGTCTATTATTTTCTACTATTTTCTGTTCTACTTTTGTTATCCTATAATATTTAATGGAGACAAAAGAAATGCGTAATATTTCATAGTAATTTCAATGTAAAATTCTTTAAATACATCATCATAAATTTTAGATATTTAACTCTTGTTATTGAATATCTGAATGTTTTTTAATATTTGAAATAATTTTAATTACAGGTAGCAGTTGATATGGACTTTGCAAGAGATGGTTATGAATTACACAAAAAAGTAAATCCTTCAGAAGTAATTGTTGGATGGTAAGTTTCACATTCATTTTAATTGAAACAACACAATATTTTAGATCCATTTTACTTAACTCAATTTTTATATCCTGATTAAAGTAGCAAAAAGCTTTTCTGTTGATCAATAAATATGAAAAATTTCATTTCCATTTATAAACAAATTGAATTAATTTTTACACTTATTACTAATTGGTTGAACATTTCATAAACATGGAAGAAATTCAATGATTGTGTGAAAAGATTTTATATGTAACCAAATGAATTTTATCAGCTATTTTAAATCTAGTTAGTAATTCAAAACAAAGTAATTTAGAGGTAGGTGGTTATATTGCCATCTAATGATAAATTTAATAATTATAAGCAAGCAAATAAATTTAATTTAGAATATGCTTGGCTGATTTTTTTCTTCCAAACTGTTTGTTGTGTTGCCAGTTACACTATCTAGACCAGGGGTGTCCAACCTTTTTTTCTCTGGACTACATTGGAAGAAGTCATGGAGTTTTGGGCCAGAAGTATATTTTGGCCCAATCCTTAAATATATAAGTATATTTAAGGATTAACATGTCTAGATTATAGTAATAAGTATTAAAAGTTTACCACAAAAAATAATATTTTAAAAAATTACTTCTACAGACACTTTTAATTTTTATTTAGAAATAGATAAATTCATTTATTATGAAAGAGACAAACAAATTTATTTGAAAAACAAATATTTGTTTTATTTGGGTCTGTAATTAATAGAAATGATGAAACACCATTTTAAAGCACATTTTTATTCAACTAATATATTTATAAATAATATGCAGCCCAAAAAGTAACCAATGTGCCAACTGATATTTTTTTACATCAAACTAATAAAAGGTAGCCAAATTTGGTGCAAAATAGCCAAATCTTGCAATGCTGGAAGAAATACTAAATATAACTGGAGTTGAGACTCAAAAGATTATAGACCCAAATGAGGAGAAAGGACAAAAGATAAAGAAGTGAAAAATGTTGGAAAATTAAGGGTCCATATTTGCATAACAGAAGGTCTATTTAACATTTCTCATTACTTTTTATCTTTAGATCTTTCTTTCCTTTCCCCTCATTTGGGTCTCCTTTGAGAGCCAACTCCAGCTTTATTTAGTATACCTTCCTCATTCACACATTTCTATTTGAAAATATTTCTTTTCCACTCAAAAATAAAATATGTATAAAGGTTTATGGCTGTGTGAAACTTCTTTTTCGAGTTTATAATGTTGAAATAAATAAATACAGTAGAGCGTCGTTTATCTGAAAGTCAGTTATCCGAAACGTCAGTTATCTGAAAGAATTCCAGTCGGCAAATTTAAATTTTCACTAGTGCTGTGGCGCTGCAGTCTTTGGCTATATCTTGGGCTACTCCAATATTTTTTTTGTTGATGTGTGTGCTTTAGCTGGCAGCACTGGCACTTTTGTGCAGTGTTTTTCTGAGGACTGTGTTTCGTGCTGAATCGAATGTTTTTGATAATAGATGAACTTCTAAAGTATAATTTTGTTTTGTTTTTATATTTTTCAATATATTTATTTTGTTTGTAAAAAATAAAGAAATAATTTTTAATGATACAATAGCCACAATTATTATTTTAAAAAGTTTACATTAGACTTAACAGCGACGAAAATTCAATGCGAAGCAACATGCAACGGAGAAAAATTTCAACACTGGATAGGTTAATATATTTTTTCGTACATAATTGGTTATCCGAAAAATAAGTTATCTGAACAACCTCAGTCCCCAATTGATTCAGATAAAAGACGCTATACTGTAAATAAATAATTAAAAAATTGTCAGTTTTGTGTACACGTTTATAGGGCCGCATTTGAACTTGCCTTGGGCCGCGGGTTGGACACCTCTGATCTAGACCTCTGTCCAGTCTTCACTTCCAGAGCCAATAATTAATTTAGATACAATCATACTGGTCACTTATAGAATCAACTGGAGACAGCTGATTACACTTTAAAATAGGTAAGAAGCATTGCATTTAATGGTTTCCAGATGTTGTGAACATTTTATAAGGACACAAAGTGTGAGATTCATAGAAAACTTTTCCTAAGAATATTTCCAAGCCTTTGCCACACAAGGAAAATGGGTTGGGGGACATTGGGTAAAATTTTATAGGTAACCAAGGGGCAATGGCTCAAAAAAGTTTGGGAATCACTGATCTAAATTAATAGCTCTGAAAGCAAAGATCAGATGGAGATCTGGGTTAGTTTATATCAAGCCAATTATTTTCATCCAGTGTATTCTAAATTAAATTAATAATTATAAATTACTTTAAATTTAAAATTGAGATGGTGGCCTAATTGCCTATCTATAGCCAAATTATTTTGTTTCAAATTATTAATTAGACTTAAAATATCATGATAAAATCCAGCAGAACATTTGATTATGGATGATGATTATATATAAATTTTGTATTTATTGAATAATTTAATTTTCCTTTAATTTTATCACAAAAAGTTTTTAATAAATTCTGATATTTAAAGATAAAGAAAGGTTTTATCTATAGATTTTAAAGATATATATATATATGTATATATGTCATAAACTGAAGTAATTTTAACACTAAAGTAAAATTCCTTATTAAATGACTAAGACTTTTTCAGATGATAAATTAAATTGCTGTTTTGTGTCATTAGAATTAACTACTGTTTTTGAAATTTTGAAAGTAGCCAAACTATATTTCTAAGCAGTGATATATTTTTATTACTAAGGATTGATAATGAAACAATATGTTAATGAAATTAAATATTTTTATGTGAAAGAGGCCAAAAATTACTTTCAAGTTCTTTGTCATTTCTATTGCTATGCAAAGCTTTACAGCAAATTTTATGGTCTACCTAGTTTTGCTTGTTTTTCATCTGATATCATGAAAATGGAAGTAACTGAATATGATGTTAAATGTGTTTTCAGTGGCAGATTGTTCTGTAGACTGTGATGATACGGATTCATTTGATAAAATAAACTCTTATGGTCTTATGGAAAGAAATCTGTGGACTTTGCAAATTTTTCTATAAAATACAATGGAGTGGGATTATAGGGAAATATATAAATAAAAATAAAATTGATTTCTTGAAGAAAAGATGACAAAATTCAATGACACCAAAAATCTACAGATATAACTGTGCCAAAAACAAACAAAATTTTCCTTTATTGTTAAAATCTTATATTTCGGGACTTGATAATTTTATTTGTTTATAACATTTAAACCCCTAATACAGTATCTGTGGTCACAATAAGTTGACTCTACTGTATTTCAAGTGATTTTAGAATACAAAATTAACCAAAAAGAGAGAAAAAGAATTACATAAAGTTATGAAAATTCCTTAGTCTAAAATTGAAATTTCACACAAAAAATATTTGCTCTTCAAAAATTCAAGCCCACAAGAAGTGATTTTTGTCTCTATTAGAAAACACTGCACTAGACAGTTACAAATCCATTGTTTTTTTTTTTTTAAACAACTAATTTAATGTTTTATTTAGATTAACTTTGTTTTCTTGTGGTGGACAATTGATAAATAACAGTTCTAAGTATACTTTAAATAAATTATTAATTTAATACGTGTTTTTATTTTATTTCTAATCTAAAACAATAAACACAATATTAAGCTATTAATATAAGTTGTATAGAATTTTCCACGTTAAGCTTAAAAATGTGAAAATGATTATATCATCAATTTGCAAAACAAAAAAATTTTACAAATTAAAATGATCATTGTTACATCAAATTATTCAAATGCATCACTAGTCTTCATGTAATGATTGCACTTTTATTTATTTACAATAAAAATTATGCTTACAACAAAATAGTAACAACAAAATTCTAATAAGATTGATACTAGGAATAAAATGGACAAAATTACTTATTTTTACAGTAAAGTTGATATTGGGTCTATTATTTTCTACTATTTTCTGTTCTACTTTTGTTATCCTATAATATTTAATGGAGACAAAAGAAATGCGTAATATTTCATAGTAATTTCAATGTAAAATTCTTTAAATACATCATCATAAATTTTAGATATTTAACTCTTGTTATTGAATATCTGAATGTTTTTTAATATTTGAAATAATTTTAATTACAGGTAGCAGTTGATATGGACTTTGCAAGAGATGGTTATGAATTACACAAAAAAGTAAATCCTTCAGAAGTAATTGTTGGATGGTAAGTTTCACATTCATTTTAATTGAAACAACACAATATTTTAGATCCATTTTACTTAACTCAATTTTTATATCCTGATTAAAGTAGCAAAAAGCTTTTCTGTTGATCAATAAATATGAAAAATTTCATTTCCATTTATAAACAAATTGAATTAATTTTTACACTTATTACTAATTGGTTGAACATTTCATAAACATGGAAGAAATTCAATGATTGTGTGAAAAGATTTTATATGTAACCAAATGAATTTTATCAGCTATTTTAAATCTAGTTAGTAATTCAAAACAAAGTAATTTAGAGGTAGGTGGTTATATTGCCATCTAATGATAAATTTAATAATTATAAGCAAGCAAATAAATTTAATTTAGAATATGCTTGGCTGATTTTTTTCTTCCAAACTGTTTGTTGTGTTGCCAGTTACACTATCTAGACCAGGGGTGTCCAACCTTTTTTTCTCTGGACTACATTGGAAGAAGTCATGGAGTTTTGGGCCAGAAGTATATTTTGGCCCAATCCTTAAATATATAAGTATATTTAAGGATTAACATGTCTAGATTATAGTAATAAGTATTAAAAGTTTACCACAAAAAATAATATTTTAAAAAATTACTTCTACAGACACTTTTAANGCTGCTCAGCAACAAAAACAAGCTTAAGCAATGGCGACATCAAACGGTGCACACTCAGAAACTAATCCTGCAATTTTTTGTTTATAGCATAATTTATACAGATTATTCCCAAAAAAATATACATATTTTGGAAATGTTGAGTCGAATTAGTCTAGGAATCGATTAATTTTATGGAAGAAAACCTTTCAAACAGCCGTAGTCCGTAAACTTCACATGTGTTGGGCTATGATTGGCAAGGACTCGTACAAAATGGATTCATAAAGAACGGAACATATCTACCGTGTTATAGGGGGTCAACTGTATATATTAAACATTATGTTGATATCAATTTTATTAATAAGATTTAAATTTATTTGCTTGTAGACAGCATGCAAGTTTTAATATATTGCTGTTATTGTATAAAACTGTTTCATTTAAAATTTCATTTTAGTGAAATTAGTGCAACAGACGAAATTCAGTAAGCAACGCACTGTGGAATTTAGTCCTGATCTGAATCAGATTGTAGAGTCTGTAAAAAAAATGAGAGAATTGTTAGAAATTGTAATTGCATATGTTGATGATGTTTTGGTAATTTTTTACGCATTTTTTGTTGTTGAATATTAAGTTATATAATATTGAATGTTAAAATCCTTCTCTACTTAGGCTGGAAGAACTGTGGCAGATAATACTATTGGCAGAGCACTTATGGATATGGTACAGAGCATACCTCAGATGGATCCTGAAGATTTCCAAGAAATGCTGAATTCAAATATGAAGGTGATTTTATTAAACATTTTTAATGATTTAGAACTGTTAAAATGTTAGTTGTTTTCCACATTATCTTACAATTTGAAATGAATTAAATAGCAAAGTATTTCGAAGATGTGTAATGGATATTTTTCTATTATTAAAAGACTGACTTAGCTTTTTTATTTTGCTACAAGAAGATTCAAGACATGGATAACATTAGCAAATAGACATAGAAAATAATCAAGTTAGATTTTATGGGTGATAAATGATACTTAAAAAAAGGAGGAACGTTTTTGCTAAAGTAATGAAAAATATTAACTGTTAAGCTCTTTTTATCTTGTCATTCTAGTATTTTTAATAGCAGATTTCAGTACTAGGTATTTCAGTGAACAGCTAACAAAATTGATTAGTTGAGGGCAAAAAATAATTTTGATTCAAGATACAAACAATTATTTGAACATTATAAAGTAAAAACGTATTTAAAGTTATATGTATTCTTGTTATCAAAAACATTATACAACTTCAACATAATGTTATATTTGTATGAATAATTTTAATTCTTATTTTTTATCTTAGTGAAATCACTTTTACTTTATCAAGCTTTTTTCTTAATGACTTGTTTTGAGTTTAATAGATTGCAAATATCATTAAGTTCCTTTAAATAATGTTTTGAATTTGAAATTTAATAATAATAGCATATGAGGAGTGTTCAAAAAGTATCGGACTTTTATTTTTCCCGCATAAACCAATGATGCATGGGGGTCTCTTTCAGTGGAGTTGTGGAGGGGACAGTCATGCCACGGTCCACTATGTTGAAAAATGATTGTTCAATGTGAGCAGCAATATTGCATCAAATTTTGCCAAAAGCTTGGCAATACCCAAGCAGAAACCATTCACAAGATTCAGCAGGCTTTCGGGGACAATCCTTGAGGCCAAAAAAAGTGCAGCAGTTCCGCAGAAATGTCAAGGTCATGTTGACAGTTTTTATTGACTCCCGTGGGGTGTTGTATTGTGAGTACGCATCACAAGGCCAAACCATTGTAAAGGAGTACTACAGGAGGTCTTCATCATCTTTGTGATGTTGTGCAATGCAAATGACCAGACTTGTGGTCAACCAGAACTTTGCAGCTCCATCATGATCCACCCGCCCATTCTGCGCATCTGATTCGGGTTTTTGTCACCACACACAACATTGCTGTGGTTCATCACGCTCCATACTCTCCCGACATGGCTCCGTGTGACTTTTGGCTATTTCCCAAGCTGAAAGTGCTGCTAAAAGGAACCTGATTTTAGTCAAGAGAAAGACGTCATGCGGAATGCTACGGACTGGCTGATGGCCATTCCAAAAACTGCGTTTCAGCAATGGCAGGAGCACTGGGAGAAGTGTATACATTACCAAGGAGACTGAAGGGGATTAGGGTTTTGTACTTCAAAATCAATAAATGTAGTTTTGCCGACCAAAGGTACAATACTTTTTGAACACCCCTTGTAAAATAGTTAAATTATAATCATCATTTTTTTTTTTTTTCAGGATTTACTTATGGTTGTATATTTGTCTCAGTTAACAAGAACTCAGTTATCACTGCATGAAAAATTGAGTCAACTTTAATGTACTTTAAATTTTTGAATAAATGGAAAAAACATTTTCTTCACTTCTTTTCCATAGGAACTATATTACACCTGCAACAATAAAAATTTTTTTTTATTTGAGATACAAAAAGTTGAAAACTAAACTGTAAACAATACTTATGGCTCTCAAATAGCATAACTTTGAGAGTCATCCATAAAAAAAAAAAACTTTTAAATTTTAAATGCTCCCTATTAATGAAAATATGCATATATCTTATTTCAATTTTGTCTAATGAATTAAACAATCAAATGAAATAAGTTTTCTTGAATTTTTATATTTTTATGATACAGCATGATTAGAATTGCATAACTCAAACTATCTAGTAGAGATTAATCTTTGAGTAAAATTGCTAAATATACTTATTCAAATTGAACTGTTTTGAAATTATTCTGTTGCATCAAAATGATCCTATATATTTATCACTTGGGCTGTACTAAATGATATTTACTAGTATTATTTAATAGCAATAATCAAACTATCATTGTGAAAAGTTGATCACAGTTCAGAATTTTGTTCTATTATTACCAATAAGTAGCTTTACATTTTTTTTATGTTCCTTGATAAATATATGCAAATACCTATAACTAAATTTTACTATTATGTGAAAGTTGTAGGTTTACAAAAGACAAATCATCCGTCTGCAGTAAGTTATTGTTACATTTTCTTCTCAAATTTGGATCATTTTGAAGCAATTTTTTCTTGAAGTCATGACTTTAGTTATACTGTTTAGTTATGCTGTTACTGTTAGCAATTTCTAAATTCATGGTAGTGCATTTCTATTGCATAATCATATATAATACATTTATGGTAATATCATAAATGTATTTATAAATTCACATTATGCCAAACTTGATAGAGTGCAGTTATGCTATGTAAGAATTTGATTAGGGTGAAAAATTATTTTTTTTTCTTACCCTACAGTCACTAAGAGGGCCTTCTTCCATGCCTATAATGGACTTGTACCATCTTTTTTTAAAATAATAATTAAAATAATACAAAAAGCTCACCCAAGTAATCCTTTTCCACTCCAGGTTCCTGGTGTTAAACTAAGATTAAAAACTCTAGTTCCTCTTATTACTTTAACATGAATAGGCCTCTAAAAATCAAACATATTAACTACTATAATACTACAAGAATATTTTTACCAATTTAATAACTTTTGGAATATAAAACTTAGTTCTGAATGAAATAAAAATTTTTTTTTCAAATTTATTTACTCTATACATGAAAAAAGTATACTTACTCCAACACTATGCTGTACAAGACTTGCAACATTACTCAAATCAACAAAATTTTTGGAAGTTATAGATCCAAATTGTATAATCTTATCATCAATGTGCAGACCCTGGAATGTTTAACCAATATAAAAATTTAGATTCATTTTTTTAATTGCTTACATTATAATAACATCACTATCAAAACAAATGAAATACACATAAAATGAGACATTTTCCAGGAAGATTAAAGTTCATTCTGATCCTGTCTGACCTTGAACCTCATTTATGTTATATTTGTATTTAGAATTTCACCTATTGGACAAACATAACAATACATAGCTCATATATGTATGTTATGTAATTCTTAGCATTTATACAAGCACAGCTAAATCATGTATTATAAATTACACACCTTTACTGACATTCAAATAGAATTTTGGTAGACAAATACAAAACACTTCACATAGAAATCTTAAAGAAAGGTGATTTTGTACAGAAATGGAGACATCATTAAATCCATGAAAGAGTGAAGTTTATAAATATTTACTGAAGAATTCCAACAGGCTAAATTCACAGAACATACACAAATAAAATGAAGACTAACAAAAGAATACAACAGTAGATTAAACTCCACTAACAAGCAACAGCACAGCTGAATGCAAAAACGCATCATTTCAGTATAGATATTCATTTAGAGTTGTTATAGTTCTGTTTATGTCCAATGTATAACTCCAGAGAAAAAAAATGAACAACATTAACAAAGAACAACAAACCACACTAAGTTGTTAAAAAAAAAAAAGAATGACTTCAAATGAGGGAAGATAAGGCCTCAGATATTTTAAGGACACTGCAAGAATTTTTCTATGGAAAACAAGAAACATCACAAATACACAAACCTGTAACTCTTGCAGAAAAAAACAGTACACCATTAAACACTGACTGGATCAAATACAGTAAGAAATGCACAGATACAATCAGACAGGAATAAAATTCAATGGATATACTACCACCCAAAGGTTTAGAAGCACTCTCCTTGCATTCACAGGTCCTAAGTTGTAAAATTTCGGCAATGGCTTTATGGTCATTGCATGTTTCTGCTATAATGGCAAACTAAAATTGTGAAAAATTCAAAGGTCAAAGTCAATTCTAGTTACTATCAGAATATAGTACTGAAGCCCATGTTCAAGCCTAACACTCTATCATATGGCATAGACACTTCAAAAAATTCCATCATGACAAAGCATTAAGTTATACCTCAAGTTTAACCCTGCATTTCTGAAAATGATGGAGGAAGAAACTGATATAACTTAATACCCTTTTCCAACATACCTGCTAAATCACCCAATGCAGTGCCCATGGATTTCTGTATCTTTGGGTCACTAAAAAAAGAGGCCTTGGAACTTTTGACCCCAAACATTAGATAGATTACGGAAAGCTTGCAATAATGAATGGGAGAAACTAAAACAAAATTCTGTAAGAAGAGCCCTTTTGCAGTGGAAAATTTGAAATCCAGCAATAGTCAGAAACCAGGGGAAGCAGATAGAGCATGAGTGTTTCTCAGGAAAACTTTTTCCTCCACCATCTAACAGATATTAAGAATGTTTCCATAAGGCTGAAACAACTCTAAAGCAATTTTGTTTTTAAAGTTTGATTTGATTCTTAGATTTACTATATAATTATTTTATGATTATTACAAAATTATGATTTATACACTATATTCATTATAAATTTAAATAAACCAAACTCTTCTCTTACCTTTTCCAATTTTTTCCTCCTCTATCTCCCCCTAGATTCACCGAGTTTACAAATTCTTTGGCATCCTGTCCATCTGTTGCTATCAACATTCTGATGTTTCCTGGTAAGAAACTTTGTTGTCATCAAACATGGATGGATAGGATACTAAAGAATTTGCAAACACAGTGAATCTAGAAGAGGAAGGAGACAGAGAAGAAGAAAGATTGGAAAAGGCAAGAGAAGAGAGTTCAATTTATATTGAGGGAAAAAAAGTAGAAGTAGAAAGAGATGACATTTAAATAAATATTATCTAAATAAGACTTGATTTATTAAAATTTCTTTTGTAAAACCAAAAAACATAATATACTTCTTCAATAACTGCAAGTTGTATTATTGTAAGAAAGGGTGCTTACAGTATTTTGTCTTAAGGGCAACAAATTAACCAATTGGTTCACTAAAATCATGTTTGTTTCTACTTATATTATTTTTATTTTGCTTCTTGAGAATGAGTAATAAACATGTAAAAAGAAAGAAAAAGCAAAAATTCAAATAATCTAACAGGCTTATAGTCTTCTACAAATCCTTCTTAGCACAAATTCTTCTTAAAGCTTTAAAGAGAACTAAATTTACATTTACAAAATAATTTTATAAAATTGTTATCTAACAAAAGAAAGAAAGCAAATGCTTCCTGGTCCCTCCCTTAAATGATTTTAATCTTAATATGTCGTTTTAACTGCATATTAGTTTTAAACTTTAAATGAACTTTTTCTTATAGTTTTTTCATAGAAATGTTTGTATTATGAAATTTGAAAAAATATCAAATTAAGTGACATTTTGAAAATCTAGATTAATTGGGGTCATACTAAATCAGATTTTCAAATTTATATGTAAATTAGCATTTTAAACACTTAATTACCATTTTTTGACATTATTTCATATTTTAATGATTATAATTATTTAAAGTATCAAATGTTGATTTTATTGGTAAATAACTGAAATAGTATAAACTAGTGTTGGACTGAATATTGAGTATTATTTGGTATTTGGATAATACTAAACACTATTCAATATTTGGACCAAATACTTCTTCAAAGCTGAACTATTTGGTCAAATAATCTCATTTAATTGGGAGAGAGGGAAAAGTGGAGAGAGAAAGGAAGGAAAAAAGATGAAACACAAAATAGAATGAAAAAAGATTTAAAAACTCAGACATTTAAAAATATTATTTAGTCCTTTCCAAAACAAATATAATTTTAATAAACAATCTTGTGCAAATATTATTTATCAATAATCATAACTAAGAGTGATAAATTGTAATGAGGGAACAGTAATGCTTCTGCATTCATAGGAAGTAAGCAATTTTGTTGGTTGTCATAAATATGTCCAGTCCCACTGAACATACTGTGTTTTCACTAAATACACTACTGGGGACTGAAAAAAAAAATGATTGGCCTTAATGAAAGGATTTAATTTTTTACTTTTTATCATATAATTATTAATAATTTTTTAAAAATAAAAACTTATATGAAACTTTATTATATCAAATAGGAGATGCTACCCTCCATCTTTAAATCTTTTGTTTCATGTAGTTCCAAATAGATCTGATGATATTCAGCCAAACATAAGGTACTTGGTAGTTGGAAAAAGCAAGCATATACAGTAATCTGTATTCAATGGCAGTAGCATCCAAATAATCCAAATTCAGTATTTGGCCAAAAAGCCCTAATTGGCCCATCCATAGTATAAATAAATCTTCAGTGTTAAAAACTTTTATATAAAATATGTGCATTTCAGTCTACAATATTTATTTATTAGTGATATAATATGTACATATGATTTTTTTTTTTTTTTTTTTAACTAAAGGGAAGTTCTTTCTTAATTGCTTAAAGTTGATCTAAAGTTAGGCTAAAATACATACAAAAGAAAATGAGATCTTATCTCTTTAAAAATTTTTAAAATTTTTTTAAAAAGATAAGATTTTTTGTTTTTTAAATTTATGTGGGGATGGAAAAGTGCATTTTAAAATTCAAGTGGGTGTGAGCAACAGAAAAAATTAGAACATCTGACTGCTGTATTGAGACAGGTTAGCATTTTGCATTGGACAGTTGGCAACAAGCAAAGCAAACTGGTTTGAAACTATTATTATTAATTTAAAGTAATATCAAATATAAAAATAATATTCTGAATAAACTAGGAGACTTCATGAATTAATGATAAAAGGTAACTTAAATATTAGAGAATACATTTATTAAGCTACAATTAGTATTTACTGTATTTATTATTTACTAATGAGAATTTTAAAAAAGTAAGGATTTTAAGATAAGAAATTTGCCAGTTGAGCAAAATTAACTAAACTGTTAATTTTAATATATTTAACATACTAAAATTTTCATTCTATTTATTTACTTAATTATATTAATAATTCTTTACTTCATAACTGGGTGTATTTTTTTATTTAATTATATTAAATTTAAAAAATATTACTTAAACCAGTATTTATTTAATAGAACCTTAAATATTTTTCTTTATTCTTGTTATTGAGAATGAAAAATTTTGATTGAAAAACAAATCTAATCTAATCATAACAGCATAAAATAAATACTAGAATGTAAGTTAGAAGTTAGTTATAAAATAAGAGATAATATTGTTCATTTTGAACTTAATTCATTAGAATAGAAAACTATGGAAATTAAAATCAATTTCACTTACAGCATTATCTGCTGGAGAATTTAAATCAACACAGTTGACTTTGGCAAAAGGTGAAAGTGATTCAGTGTCTTGTGATTGAGTTGACTGTAATAAATTGCTATTTGATTCTTTCTGCTCAGCATGCAAAGAATACAATCCTGCTTCTATTTGTTTCATTACTTCCTTATGATCATTTTGTAAACCTATATTATCAGATAGATAATGCAGATTACATGGATATTAAACAAATATATTAAATAGTTTAGTTTTTGAATGATGGATGAATAGCATGATAATGATAAATTTACAATTACTGTTGTGACTGGACAGTCGGCACCTCTTCAATGCCACATCAGGATGATACCACTGTGTCCTGTTTGACTGGTTCCCATTTATCCGGTCATTTCAGCAACTCAAGAATTAACTGGTGAACATGGACAACTCAACCTCGACCCCAGATATAGAAATACAAAAGGAGAACCAGAAGAAACCAGCAAAATTTTAGAACAGATACAGAAGCCATAATAGTGAATGGTTTTGTAGTCGGCATTGCTTCTGTGTTGAACAGGACACAGTGGTGTCATCCTGACGTGGCATCAAAGAGGTGCCAACCCTCCAGTCACACTATTAATACAAAATATGATTAATTAAAATCATTACAAGTTAAAAAATCATATTCTTTTCTCTGCTACCCCTGTAGTTTTTAAACTTACCTAAAATTTATCAGTATATCTATACTGATAAATATCCTTGCATAAAGTATTATTTTATTAAATACAGTACTCTCTCCTATAACGCGGGTTCATATAATGCAGATTTGTATATCGCGGCGAAAAAATTGCGACCATATTCATATAAAGACGCTAAAAGACTCGTAAAATGCGGTAAAACATCATCGCTGACTCATGTCGTGACAGGATTGGTCGAATCTGGACCAATAGTGGACGAGCAGCTGAACTATTTATATGCTACAGACAGTTTAAGCAGGTAAGTTGAGTTTACTATCGTCTGTATAGTATATAAATTAGGTACTGTAAGTCTAATACAGTACTGTAATTTTATACATTTCTTATTCAACTGCCATAAAAATTATTTCTATTAATGATGTCTCCAAAGTTCAATGAATTTTTCTCAGAAAAATAACTTATCAGAAAATGCGCCTGCCGTTTGGTGCACTGCTCCGCGACAAAAACAAGCTTAAGCAATGGTGTCGTCGAACGGTGCACACTCGGTAAGTAATCCTACAATTTATTTATAGCATAGTTTATATGGATTATTCCTGAAAAATTATACGTTTTTTGGAAACGTTGAGTCAAATTAGTCTAGAATTGATTAATTTTATGGAAGAAAACCTTTCAAACAGCCGTAGTCCATAAACTGCACACATGCTGGGCTGTGATTGGCTCATGTATTGAAGGATTCCTACAACGTGAAATTCTTATAAAGTGGAATGTATCTACCGCGTTATAGGGGGTTGACTGTAATTAATTTTATACTTTCTGCAAATAAATTGTAACTATAATTTTACATACAAAAAGAACAAAATATTTTAACAAATAGAATGTACTATGCTGTAAACATTTCCTGATAAAATATTTTTGAATCTCATCTAAATACATATTCATGTGCATTTAAGAATCAAGAATTTTATAGATCAAATAGAGGTGATTATTAATACTTATAAACTAAAAAAATGCAGTTTACTTTAGTTATTGTCAATTTATTATACAATAACTTATTTCAAAATATAAATTTTTTTACCTTATAAGACAGGCTTAATTTCATAATAATTTATAATAATAATTTAATTTTTATATCAACTTGAAATCATGACGATTCATTTTTAGAAAATTTAATGTTAGTTTAAGAGTTTGATTTAATTTGATGCATGACATATTATGTATAAATTTAACAGAAAAAATTTTTTCAACAGTTATACCTTTCTTGAACAAAATTGTATGAAAGGAAACATATCTCTAACAAAATAATTAAATGTCAGAAAAAAATAAGAGAAAGAAAAATAAAACAAAATTAAAGTCTTAGAGCATTATAGCACAAAAAAATCTAACTATTGAGTACAGAGATTTCTATATGATTATTTATGTAATTTTAAATAAAAAAAATTAAAAATTAGTTTTTCCATGACATAGTTTAAAGACATTTTCTATAGGCATACTACATTCATGTCCAAAAAATAAGCATAATCATCCAATCATAGAAAAAAAAATTGGAAAACTTGTATAACAGACAATAAAAATAACTAGGATGTAATTAAATGTTTCATTAAAAAAGCACAACTTTATGCAAAATATGTATGCTTCATAAATACAGAAATAGCATGGTATTGTTTCTGTTGAAGTTTAATCATTAAAGACAGTTTGTTACTGTTTTAGTTTATAAATATTGACAGTAATAATGCCAAAAAGATTCCACATAGATAATTTCATGATAGATTGTTTGGAAGGTTCAAAAGCAAGCTAGTCACTAATGGATGTATCCAGAACTCATGTGCTGCAGAGCATCATATCCAGACTTTTGTTCAGATTTCAAAAAAAAAAAATGTTGATTGTCAATTAGGAATTGATATATATGACTTACATATGTTAACACAATCACTATTTGGTATTAATGTTGACTTGCAACAGAAGAATGTCTGGTAGGTAGCTCTCTTCAAAGAGCTCCTACCAGATATTCTTCACACACCAGTACCAGTCTGGTACTTTTGTTTAGAGCTTCATGACAAACTGTCTATGTGAAGTAATTAATCATACATCTTTGTGTCATTATTATACAGTTTATTATATAAATGTCTACTCATACTGTCTAGGACATATCGTATTAGTAGGGCTTATTGTACTTGTGTCTGGTTCTGCGAATTAAGGAAACTTATTCAGAAAAAACAATCTTTATTGTTCACCTGTTTCACCTGTACACACTATGTTTGTGTTTTAGACCTGTTAGTTGCCAATCAGCACGTTAACATCCACTAAATGAAAAACAAGATTTTATAAAATTTTATAAAAAATAAATAGGTCTATAAAATTTTATAGACCTAATTTTATAGAACAAGTGTGTGATGCTCTAGGACAGTGATTCCCAATTAGGGGTAGGCAGAAAAAAATTAATGGCGAATGTACTATAAGAATATTTGGATTTTGCATTGGGGCTTTTTGGTGACATCATGACATAACACTTAGTTTTAAATAAAAATACTCTCATTGCCATAAAAATTAGCACACCAAGGAGGAGTTGTCATCTGTATGCCAGGATTTGCAGCAATACAAACCTCAAATAGATATGGAAATGATTAGTTATAGAATGATGGTTCATTTCATAATGCCAACAGAGGGTATTAAAGTATGTCCCCGTTGGCCTGTAAAAAAGTGTGCAAAGGCATCCTGTCTGTAGTTTACCTGTTGCAGAGGAATGCTGTATCATTAGAGATTGCCTTTACATTACAATTGAAAATCATATGAACAACTAACCAAGTTTGAGAGGGTAAGGATCATTGGGTTGAGAGAAGCCAGATGGTTATCTCACCAAATAGCCTGCCACCTAGACTGCTCTGACAACACTGTGAGATGATGGGACCAGTGAACAAGAGAGATTTTTCACACACGGCACCAAGGCTCAGGATGACCTTGGCAGACTACTAGCTGAGAGGACAGCCTGGTCCTCCAAAAAGTATACACAGTCGACTGTATAACTGTCCACATCCGGATACAGGTGGTGTCATCATTACAGATGCCTGTGTCTGTACATACCATTTTGAGGCATCTGATGAGGAACATTTGGAATCATGGTGCAGTGACAGCCACCCACCACCACCTCTGTTTGGAATGGTGTTATTCCTCACAGGATTGGACCACAATAAATTGAAACTGGATTCGTTACTGTCTACAGTAACAAATCCAGTTTCAGTTTGGGCACTGACAATGGCCATGTTCATGTCTGGAGGCTCCATGGTGAATGCCTGAATCCTGTCTACACTTTGGAGAAACACACCACCCCATAGCTGGTGTGGTCTGGAGTGCCATCACATATGGCAGCCAGTTACATCCAAAGGACCATGGAAGCCCTGTAGTCACATATGTTACTTCTCATGGCAGTGCTCCCAAGAGCCATTTTCCAACAGGACAATGCTCACCACACATCACAGGAATGCCTCCACCACATTGCCACACTTCCATGATCTGCCCAGTTTACTGATTTGTCACCAAACATATCTGGCATCACCTGGGACACCAAGTTGGACAGCCTTGGAGTTTGGTTGAACTAAAGGACCTTATATCTGTCCATATCATGGTGTGTATTCATACTAGAGATGGCTCAACAGGTATTAGAACCTCCTTTCAATTGTAGTTTTTCCTGCAATAAATGATCCTTTTGCTTTCATTTTGTAATCACTTACTTATATTACCATTACACTCAAACATGTACAATTTTGGTTGTTTCTGACAATCCCTTCTTGGTGTGTTAATTTTTATGGCAATGAGTGTATAATTATATTTTTATTTAACTTTGTGTTCTTTCTCTAATACTTTTCAATTTTAAAAAAAAAACTTTTTCACATGCAATTGCATAGCACTGTAATTGACCAAGGTGCCACTATTTAACAAATATGCAAAATAAAACCTAGGAAAATGGACCGTCAAGGGATATGCAAGCCAAAAATGGTCAAGAACTGCCACTCTGGAGAAAAGAGCCACATTTTAGATTGAATTTTTGCTTTTTTTAAATCGTTTTGCCCTGCAGTAACATTATGCTTGTAAAGTTTCACACCGTTATGATCATTATTTCTTAAAGATATAGACCAAATTAATGATTATGCTTATTTTTTGGTCATGTGTTTAAATTAAAGTTTGAAATACCAAAAAACAACAAATTTCTTTGAATATTTTCATATCAGAGAGTTCTCAAATTTCATTTACATAGATGAATATTTGAAATTTGAGAACTGACAATAGCCAGAAAGATGTTCAGAAACCCTAAAATAAAAATTATTAATAGGAAGAAAACATTCCATTTATACGAGATCACTAATGGCATTCTGTAATTTTATCTCCCCTCTGCGAAAACATAAAAACACTCTTAGTAACATATATTTTATTCACCGAAACAGTTAACAACAGAATTATTCCTGAATAATTAAACAGAAACAAAATACTTTTTTTTATAATTTAAATTTTTATTGCTTGTATGAATCAGAATTTCATTCGTTGTACATTTGTATAAAAAAGCCAATTATTAATTTGATTGAAATCTTTTCTTTGGATGTTAATGTAATTGATGATGTTCCTTTATTTTAAATTATTTACATGCAGGGCCGTGCTGTGCTATGATACAGAGAGGTCGCACCGTAAGGGAACGGCATTTGCATCGTCTGAGAAAATCTATCGCACGGCCGTTTGTACGAACCAATAATGCACGAGAAACAGTTTAAAACAAAAAAGAAAACTTTATATTATTTCTTAGCTTACATATAATTCTCTGTCTTGTCTGCCTGACGAGATAAACATCAATATCGGATCTCGGATAACCCTCAGAATCAACAACTGGATCTGACATTCCAATGTTTTGCTGAATCAAAAATGTCAATTATCATCCTTTGGGCTTTACGAACAGCGTTGAAATTTTATAAATACGTTCAAAAACTCACGGATTTCAAAACGGCAAAAAGTGAATTAATTTCCTCCTCGATACTTTCTTTCTTTTTCATCAAAGTCAAGAGAGCGTCTTTCGCACCTTCCATCGCCATTTTTAAATCGGCGCAATGTTGAATGACGAATGAAATTGAAGGTACTCGAACGTGACGTAACTATATATATTTTAATCATTTCTTTTTAATAAAATATATTAAAAAAATAAAAGAAAAACGTTCTTTTAAACAGTTATATTGATATTAATATAAGTAATTCTCTAATTAAGAATATAAAAATTTTGTTACGAACCCGAAAGTATTTTTAATAAAATTTTACGACTCTTCTAACCAATAGCTTCACGAATCTTTTAGAATAATAAATACAGTCTAATAATACGAGTAAGAAGAAAAATAATAATTTATAATTATTTTTCTTTACTCGTTCTATTTTTGTTGCAATGACACAAAAGTTTTGCTCCAGTTACGTCACGATCGATGCAACGGTAGAAAGCACGAGCCGAGAAATGTCGAAACGTCATAGATCACGTGTTTGAGGAAAGTCTATGGCGAGTTTGTCGAAGGCGGAATTACGTTGAGATGTTTAATTTTTTTGTGTATATATGTTTGACGATTGTTTAAAAAAAGCTGTAATATTGTTCCTTTCGTTACACGTTTCTTTATAGCTTTTTTTTTTTTGTTTTTCGAGTTAAAGAAATGGCATTATCGTTATTAAAAGTCAAGGAAGAGATGAAACAACAAGGCGAAGAGACTGCTTTGAGAATGTTCACTGACGAAATGGGAGGTAAAAAATCCGTCCAACAGCAGCAAGAAACGGAAAGTTTATTGAAAGAATTAGAAAGTGACGGTAGATATTTAATGGTGGATGTCGGTTCGAACTTAACGAATAAGAAATTTCAGAGAGATTTGGATGGCGTAGTAAAACGTGCCAAAGATGCAGGTAAAGACAATGCGTGCGCTATTTACAGCATTACACGGTAATTTATGTAATTTTAGGTATAACAGTTGATAAACATACGACCTCGCTTCTCATTTAACCAATTAGTTTAGAAACTGCACCTATTTAATTAATGCAATTTATGCTTTCGAGCTCTTTAAACGTCATTTTGGGTTTGACATTGAAATAAAAAAAGGAAAAAATATCCAAAACTTATTGAACGTAATTATTTAAATCAATTGCCGAACTGTGGATTTTGAAAATTGTTTTTATGAAACTTGGCATGAAAGTCGAGCAAACTTATAATAAACTTTTATTTTAAATGGTGTTAAATGTTTTGGATGCCAGATTTTTGTTTTAACTATTGCCAAATTTTTCATTATAGTTTGTTGGTCACTGCTCTGTCTCTATAGGAAAAATTAAAGAATTTTTTGAATCAGTTTCTTAAATCAATTAGTGGGTTATATTACTTTATTGAATAAATTATATTTTAATTAAGAGAATAGATTTGTTTAATTTACTTGTGTTCATGATTTGGTATTTGCTTGAGATATATTTAAATTGAGTTAACCTAAACATAAATTTTTTAAGTAATAATCTATAAAAAGTAAGACGTTAATAGATAAAATTTTTGACCTGTTTAAATGTCAGATGTAATACATTATTTGGGTTTAACTTGTTAAGCCTAGATAATGCAATATATTTTTGTAATAATTGTTTTAAAAGTTTTTAATACAAAATATTTATTTTAATAACCAAAATTAAACAAACTTTTTATTGATGTTAAGATTTAATATAAGCAATATGATTATTCTCTATGTTAATAAAATATTATTCCCTGTCTAATGTCAACTTTTTTTATCATAGAAATATTTTAAAACAAAAGATTCATATAAATTTAATTTTATATACAGTCAACCCCTCTATAATACTGTTGATAATTCAGTTTTATATGAATTCCATGTTGTACGAGTCACTTAGATTTTACAAATACGTGAACCGTTCACAGCCTGGCACATGTATTTGTAAAATCTAAGTGACTCGTACAACATGGAATTCATATAAAACTGAATTATCAACAGTATTATAGAGGGGTTGACTGTATATAAAATTAAATTTATATGAATCTTTTGTTTTAAAATATTTCTATGATAAAAAAAGTTGACATTAGACAGGGAATAATATTTTATTAACATAGAGAATAATCATATTGCTTATATTAAATCTTAACATCAATAAAAAGTTTGTTTAATTTTGGTTATTAAAATAAATATTTTGTATTAAAAACTTTTAAAACAATTATTACAAAAATATATTGCATTATCTAGGCTTAACAAGTTAAACCCAAATAATGTATTACATCTGACATTTAAACAGGTCAAAAATTTTATCTATTAACGTCTTACTTTTTATAGATTATTACTTAAAAAATTTATGTTTAGGTTAACTCAATTTAAATATATCTCAAGCAAATACCAAATCATGAACACAAGTAAATTAAACAAATCTATTCTCTTAATTAAAATATAATTTATTCAATAAAGTAATATAACCCACTAATTGATTTAAGAAACTGATTCAAAAAATTCTTTAATTTTTCCTATAGAGACAGAGCAGTGACCAACAAACTATAATGAAAAATTTGGCAATAGTTAAAACAAAAATCTGGCATCCAAAACATTTAACACCATTTAAAATAAAAGTTTATTATAAGTTTGCTCGACNCTGGCACACGTATTTGTAAAATCTAAGTGACTCGTACAACATGGAATTCATATAAAACGGAATAATCAACAGTGTTATAGGGGGTTGACTGTAATTAGAACATATTAATATGAAATATTGAGCACTATATAATTCATTAAATTTTGTTTAATTATTAAAAACCATATTGCTAATAAAATTTGTACAAGTTTAATGAAGTTGTTTTCACTTTTAATTTATTACAGGCATTATGAAAATAATTGTTACTGGTACATCAATTCATAGCAGTAAGGAAGCGCTTAGATTAACTCGTTTGTTTCCAGGTTCATTGTATTGTACAGCAGGTTTGTATTAAAATATTTCTTATTTGTCTGGAATGTTTTGTAACAATAATAATTTTCATAATAATCATTACTTTAAGGTGTTCATCCACACGATGCAAAATCGTGGACTGCTGAAACGTATGACACTCTTCGTGAAATGGCTTCTAATCCTGAATGTGTAGCAGTAGGAGAATGTGGACTTGATTTTAAACGAAATTATTCGGAACCAAATGTTCAAATTGAAGTTTTCAAACAACAGGTAAATTATAGAATATATAATTAATTTTTGAGTATACACCAAACTCCCACTCAACTATGCATGGATTATCCATTTTGTAGGTTACCTATGCATTATCAAAATATTAGAATTACTATAAAATGACAAAGTATCATAAGTAACTTTCAGCTTTTTGATAGAATCATATTTGTATGCTATAAAGAGCAAATTTGAAAAAATATTCTAGTAGTCCTAAAATTAAAATATAATAGTAATTTGGAAAAGAATGTAATACAGGTAGCCCTTGGTTTACGCCGGTTCAATTTACGCTGTTGCGCAATTCGCCGTTTCGAGGTGTAATTCCCTGATTTTTCTCTATCCTAGACTGATTTTCATTTCAGCGTTGAAATATTTACTGAGCTGCGACATTGTACATTCGTTAAAAACAAAGATTTTTATTGAATATATTATTGGGTATGTATACATTTGCATTAAATTAATATTAAAATACTAAACATTTAGGTACCCACGAGTCAAGTTATTAAACTTAATAGTCCAATAAACGGTGTACGAATCCATAGCGCCAATGAATGTATCCCGTATCAGTTCATTCAGAAAAAACATTGGGTGACCGGTGGTCGACCAATCAGTGTCTCCACTCATCTGTAGCTCTGTGTTGGGTTAACGTATCCTTTCAACTATGGAAAGTTTGACAAATGAACTTTGTTGAGTTAGACAATGATTGGGAGCGAAGTGCAAATGTAAAAAAGAGCATCATCGCATTCATTCAACCATATTCCAAAATTCTCAATGAAAGAAATCAAAAATGTAAACAATTAAAGATTGATATTTTTTCTGAAAAATGTAAGAAATTTGAAACTAAAATTTTTTAATAAAAACTTTAAAAATATAATTTTTATATAAAAATTTTTTAAAATGTATTTTATGATAAAATACATTTTAAAAATTAAATTTATTTGTACTTTGTATTATATTGTATTAATAAACAAAATTATTTGCGTATTTTTCACTTATGTGGAACCTAACCCTATACCTCAGTGTAAATATGGGTTCGTTTTACGCCGATTCGATTTGCGCCAGCTTTTGTAGGAACGGAACTGCGGCGTAAACCGAGGGCTACCTGTACATATGTGCATGCACACACAATATGTATGTTTTGAAGCATTTGGTTTTTTAA